CCTTCGCTCGGGGCTTCCGGAGTGACGCCTGTGATTCTCGGCGCGCCGGCCACTCGCCTCTCGCGCGCTGGCCCCCGACGCAAGCCACAACGGCGACCTCGGATCAACCGGAATGCTCTACGCTTTAAAATCACAGACATTTGATTAAGTACAGCAGATGAGAGACACAGACACAACTCTAAAATAACGAATGCTCGTCGTTGAATAAAAATCATAACAACTGGAAGGAACCATGCAGTGTTATGAAAAGTTTTTTTATTTTCTCTTTATTTTTTATACATAACAACGAATCCAACACAATAGTCGCTTTTTTCTATTCATCATACACCTACTCTTTGGCTAGGAACTAGGCATGTAAGTAACAGCAATGAGAGTTTAAAGTCTTATAGAAGGCAACCACCGGGGACTGGCGCATGCGCGTGAGACCCTCCCGGCCAGCGCGCAATCAGCACTCTCAGGGGGGTGTGGCGGCGGGGGGTCTCAGCACATGGACGTGGGCTCTCCGTTTATCGTGCACATAATATTGTCCAGTTTGTGCGCTAAGTGTAGACTTCTACACTCGGGATCCACCTCGAGAGTCTCAATAACCTGCGCATAATATCTCGTGACGTAGGAATGGAACAGCTCCTGGAGGGCGGGGCGCGCGTCCAGCTGGCCCAGGTGCGTGAGGCTCAGGTGGTGCAGGTAGGCGGCCATGTCCTGGTCCGTGACGGGAGGCATGTCCTGCACGCCCCGGTAGAAGGCCCGCACCGTCGCCCTGTACTGAGGCATGTCCTTGGCGAAGAGCAGCTTGTTGGAGGGCGAGTCCTTGCCCAGGCGGTGCTCCGTGGTCGAGCAGGCGTCCATGAAGGTCTGCGCGATGACCGACAGGCACGAGTCGACCGTCGGGCTCTTGTGCACGTCGAGGATGAAGTCCGGGTTCTTGATAAAGTTGACCCAGAAGCGGAGGGGCAGGCTGTTGGACTTCCACGCCAGCGACACCTCCGGGTCGACGATGCCGTGGCGGCGGGCGGCGTCGTCGAAGAAGTCGAACAGCCACTTGACGGCCGGCGGGAGCGTCTCGTTGGGCGTGAGGATGGTTTTGAAGAAGTCGTCGACGAACTTCTGGACGGTGCCCTTCGTGGAGAGGAGTCTGGTGAGGAAGATCTCCGGGATGGCCTTGTGGGTCCTCTCGCCGCCCCTGCACGGCGAGTCGTGGTCCACCGGCTTGACCAGGTGGTACGCGTTGGCCTCCACGCTGCCCGACTCCACGTCCCCGCAGTGGCTGACGGGGCTGCCCGACCCCGGCATGCCGTAGCCAGCGCCTGCGGGAGGAGGAAACGAGGGGTTAGCAATGATGATGCAAGGGTAAAGGAAGAGGGAATGCAAGGGTTGGGTTCATAAACGCTCGTACCAAGGATAACTCTGTTTCCTACCACTATTATTTTCTCCCAGTCATTCTCATTTGAATTCTTACTCTCTCTGTCTCTGTCTCTCACTCTCACTTTCTCACTCTCTCTCATTCTATCCCCCTCTTACCACTTCTCTCTCACCTTCATCTCTCCTTCCCTTCCTCCTTCCCTTCCCCCCCCCCTTTCCTTCCTAATCCCCCCCCCCCTTCCCTGCCATCGAACCCCGCCCGCAAACCGCTCACAATAACTTACAATTATTACACTTGGTGCTGCAGTTGGCGTTGTTGAGGGCGTGGTGGTCGTGTGGGCGTGGCACGAGGGCCATGAGGGCGGAGTCCTTGACGCCGTAGTGGGCCAGGGTGTTGAGGCGCCGCCATCCGCTGGGGTCGGCCTTCGTCGTCATGTCCTCGTCGGCGAGGATCAGGTGGCCGTTGCGGCCGTGGCGCCACTCTGGCGGGGAGAAAGAGGTTGTCACACTTTGGTTTCGGAGGTTTACTTACACTATATAATGCTAGTACACGAGAAGAGCAATTAGGGCAGATTTCCTATTGTTTTAATCGCTTAATTATACAATACTTAAAATAGTTATGGTACTTTTCATGTTACGTATCTTATTGTAGTTTGCTCATAATTTATATATCCTATTTATTTTAATGATTTAAAGAGTTTCTTGATGGGATTGTCAAAGAGTGTGAGAGGAAATGAATGTACTCTTCGGCAGAAATTAAAATATGGAAGAAAGGATTTGATTTTGGAAAATCACTTTAAAAAATGACCCTACAGATCCAAAACTCAGATCCCTCGAGGGTAATAAATAACAATGATAATAAATGAGAACAAAGATAAAGAAATACGAAAACAATAACAAATAGACACTAAGAAAGAAAATGAATCAGACATAAAAGATCCCCCTATGGATTAAGATCCTAACTCCCCCCTCCACCTCCAAGGCCGAGGTTCCTCCTCCTCCTCCTCCATCTCCTCCTTCTGCTTACCAAGGTCGACCTCGTGGACGGAGGGTCGGAGGGACTGCGGGGTGTTCCGGTAGAGGGCGTCCAGGATCTTCGACTTGACCTGCGTGATGGTGTCGCAGTCCAGGACCCGGCACT